CGGGTCCCCGTCTGCCTGCAAACGGGGACGGATGAAGGACGAGCTCCTGGCACAGCTTCCTCGGGGCCCGGCACCCTCCCGGTGCATCCACCCTGCCTTTGGTCCCGGATTTTCCAGCTCCGATGACTCAGCTCCCTTTTTTAACTCACCAAGTGGAGCTGGGTGCTGGTGGCTTGGCCCCGCTTTCCATTTTTTTTTGGCTGGCTGGGTCATCTTATCTGCTGCTGATAACGTTACCTCCTCGGGCGCTGGAAGACAGCCCAGTCGGAAGAGAAAACTGAAGCTCCCTAAACAAGCTCCGAGGCACGGACACGAGCCGCCGGGTGCTGGGATGCTGCCCGCGTGCGTAAGGCTTCACCGTCCTGCGCAGGGCTCTGAGCCGTCGCGGGAAGAGCTGCGCGTGACTTGCCCGCGACGCCGAGCCCTGCCTGTCGCCGGCTCCTTTCTCCCACGTCTTTCCCTGCAAACCATCAGGCTCAGGTGGGCAAAAGTTCGTCTGTCCCAGCGGCTGTTTTGCTACTTTTCCTCCAGCCAAGAGCCACGTCTGCTGGAGGAAACCTCCCATCTCCGCACAGAAATGCATTCATGAAAAAGAAAGAGAAAGCAGAAGAAGGAGCGAAGCCCCGGAGCGGCTGGGAAGCTGCCTCTTCGTATGCTGAGCGTGCGGTTCAGGTCTCGTATCAGCGGGGCGCAGCCCATCCCAGAGGTGCTCGGTTCACAGTGTTGGTGCAATCTGCCAAACAGACGGATCAGCTAGGAGACATTTCCAAAAGAAGCTGGAACAAGGCGGGAGAGGAAGGAATAAACAGCCTGCGGGGTGGCCCGTTCCAGCTCACCCACTGCCAAGCCCCGGAGAATCCCGTCCCTTCCACGCAGAATGCCACCAACGGATTTTGTGCTGTGCACTGTGGCCTGTCCGGGCGCACCACGACCCATCCCAGTGCACCACAACCCATCCCAGCGCACCACAACCCATCCCAGCACACCACAGCCTGCGCCTGTGCACAAAAACTCATCCCATGGACCACAATCCGGGTGCCACAGCCCACCCCTCTGCATCGCAACCCCTCCCCGTGCACCGCAGCCAGCGTACCACCACCCATCCATGTGCACCGCAGCCTGCGCACCATGACCCAGCCAAGTCCATCGCAGCCTGTGCACTGCAACTCTTCTCCATGCACCCCAACCTGTGCTCCCCACGCCATCCCATCCCATCCCATCCCATGCTCAAGCATCGCTGGCCAGGCTGGTCCACGCCTGGCAACCCCGCAGCCCGCCTGTGCGTTGCAGCTCCAAGCT